ACACAAATATAGCTGCTGTGAACATTCTTTGTATAAGTCTGTATAGATATATGCTTACATTTCTCTTGTGTTGGTAGAAAGGGATTAGCTGGATCCTAAGGTAGGTGTATCTTTTCTTAATAACCAGTGATGTTGAACATCTTTTCATGTTCTTATTTGCAAGCCATGTATCTTTTTTGGTGAAGTGTATATTCAGCTCTTTAGCCCATTATAAATTAGGAGGTTTGTTTTCTTACTTAGTTTGGAGAGCTTTTGTTTACAGTTTTTTCAGATTATTTTCAGATATTTTCTCCCATTTATGGGAGAAAATTTTTCATTTTCTTATTGGTGTCTTTTGAAGAGCAGAAGTTTGTAATTTTGAAGAAATTTAGTTTGTTAGTTTGTTATTTTATGGATTATGTTTCAGATGCTATATCTAATATATCTTTGCCTGACTAAAGGGCACAGTATTTTCTTTTAGAAGTTTTCTATTTTAGAAGTTTTGTGTTTTACATTTTGGTGTATGATGCATTTCAAATTTTGTATATGGTGTGAGGTATGGCTCAAAGTTCTTTTTTTGCTTTTTGCATATGGAAAAATCATCATCATTTGTTGAGGGGACTATTCATGCTCCACTGCTTTCCCTTTGGAATTCCATGAGAATACATACCTGTATGGATTTATTTATGGACTCTCTATTCCATTGCATTGATCTATATGTCTATCTTTCTTGAAACTAAAGTAGCATTAGTCTGATTTCTTTCTTTAAAAAGAAAATTTGGTTATTCTGGGTTCTTTCTATTTTCCTGTGAATTTTAAAAATTAAGTTGGTTGATTTCTACAAAAAGTCTACTGGGATTTCTATTAGGATTACACTGATTCTATAGATCTATTTGAAGAAGACTTGCCATTTTAACAACATTGCGTCTTCCAGCCTTTGAACGTGATATATCTCTTCATTTGTCTAATCTTTTAAAATTTCTCTCTATTCATGCTTTTTAGTTTTCAGTGTATAGGTCTTTTGTATATTTTTGTCAGGCTTATCCTTAATTATTTCATTTTTATGCTGTTATAAATGGTGTCTTAATTTCTGATTTCTTGTCAGTTTCTGATTATTTCTAGGATACAAAAATATAATTTATTTTTGTAAATTGATCATGTATTGATCTTGTATTTTGCAACCTTGCTCAACTCAGTTATTAGATTGAAGAGCTTTTTGGAGAGTCCATTGAATTTTCTACCTAGACATGTTATCTACAAATAAAGACCATTTTATGTCTTGCTTCACGATCTGAATGTATTTTATTTATTTTTGTTTTATTGCACTGGCTAGAACTTCCAATACAAGGATGAATAGAAGTGGTGAGAATAGATGTCCTTCTCTTGTTTGTGAACTTAGAGGGAAATCATTGAGTCTTTCATTGTTTAGCATGACTTTAGTTTTAGGTTTCTCATATTAATAGATAATGTTTCACCAGTGTGAGGAGTTCCTTATTATTCTTAAATTATAAAGGTTTTTTTTTTTTTTAATCAGGATTGGATGTTGGATTTTATCACATGCAATTTTTGTATCTGTTAAAATAACCATGTAGTTTTCTTTTTTAATGTATTAATATGGTGAATTACATTTATTTTGAATGTTAAACCAATTTTGTATTCCTGGGATAACCCTACTTGGTCATGATATATTCTCATATTGTTCGATTTGATTTGCTAGAAATTTGTTTATTACTTTTGCATCTGTGCTTATGCAGGATATTGGACCATAGGAATCTTTTCTCATAACAGATTTATCTGGTTGTGATATCTAGATAATGCTTTTTAGATAGTAAAGACTTCCTCCTTTTTAAATTTCTGGAAGGATTTATGTCTAATTGGTATAATTTCTTCCTTAAATATCCAGTAGAAGTCATCAGAGAAGACATTGGGGCCTGGAGTTCTAAGACTTCTAGATTACAGTTGTTATTGTTGTTTATTGTCTTTGGACTCGAATTGTTTTATTAATAGGGAGAAATCTGTTGTGATCCTTATCATTGTTCCTTTTGCAATGTATCTTTTTCTCTGGGTGTCTTTAAAAACTTTTTTTTTCACTTGTTTTGAGCATTTTGGCAATAATATACCTTCATATGTTTCATGTTTCTTGTGAATCAGTGTTTTGAGATGTTTGGATCTGTGGGTTCACAGTTTTTGGAAAATGTTCTACCATTATTTCTTAAATAGTTTTTCTGCTCTTCCATCTCTCTCCTTTCCAAATAACTGGCGTATTAATCTTCTTAAAGTTCTCCTGCAGCTCACTGATGTTCTTGGCTGTGGTTTGTTTGTTTGTTTGTGTTTCAGTTTTACTCTCTTCTTCTTCATTCTGTGTAGTCTTGATAGCTGTGCCTTCAGATTTGCTTATGTTTTCTTCTGACATGTCTAAATGTGCCATTAATTTTATGCAGTATATTTTTCATCTTATACATTGTAGTTTTCATCTCTAGAAATTTTATTTGGATTTTTTTCATATGTATTCTACCTGCACTTAACATTTTGAGCATGTGAAATCTAGTTATACACTTAATGTCCTTGTCTGCTAACTCTGATATATGTCAGTCCTGGTCAGTTTTGATTGTTTTCTAAATTATGGATTGTATTTTTCTGCATTTCTGGATGCTTGGTAATTTTTATTAGATGTCAGTCATTATGAATTTTACTTTATTGGGTGGTAGATATTTTCGTATTTCTGTAAATATTTTGTGAGGTTTTTTTCTGGTGCATAGTTAAAATAGTTTGAAACAGTTAATCCATTTATGTCTTGCTTTAAGATTTTTGTGAAACCAGAGAAATGCACAGTCTAGAATTGAGTAGTCCCCCCAGTAAGGCAAGACTCTCCTGTGTACTCTACCCATTCCTTTGTGAATTTTGAGGATTTTTTACTCTAGGTGGTGGGAACAGGCAATATTCCTGTTCTGTGACTGTAGTGTGCCTTGGACCTTTCCTTGGTCTTGAGGTGTTTCCTCACTTGCCTGTGCTGATCATTACAAAGGTAAATACCCTGTGGGGACCCTCTCTGTTGTGCTCTCTCTGTGTGTAGCTCTCTTTTCCAGTATTCTGGAAATCTCTGCAAGGATCTTTCCTCACATAGGGCTCATCGCAGTTATTTCTATAGGGCTCATTGCAATTTTTTCCTGGCTCTCAGGAATCAGTTTTTCATGACCTGATGATGCAGGATGTTTTTTGACTCCTTTCTTGGACTTGCAATGGGGGTGCCGCATTTACTCAGCCTGCCACACTCAACCCCTTGCAGGAGGGAAGACATGAGCAAATAAGAGTGGGATCCGGCCAGCTGCTTTGGGTGCCAGCAGGAGCAAGCTCTGTGCATGCCCTGCAGTGGCACCCAGGTGGGGGTGCCTGTGTCCCCTGAAACCCCAGAGGGCACACTACAGTGCTCTCTTAGCTTTGCCATTTGTGGACAGCAGTGTGTTATCAGCTCATTGGGCCCCTGGCCTTGTCACGTGGGGCATCTGCACTCTGCCAGTAAGGGCAAAGGGCCAGTTTCACAGCCTTTTTTGGGTACCTGCATCCAGTGGGTCCCAAGCTCTTATGTGGGGTCCAAGAAGAATGAGGTCGTGCTGACACTTGAAGGATGGTGAAGGCAGATAATTTTATTTAGTGATGGAAATGGCTCTCAGTGGAGTGAGGAGCTAGAGAGAGGATGGGACGGGCAGGTAATCTTCCCTGAAGCCAAACTGTCTCTCCAGAAGTTAAGCCATCTCTCCTCTGAAGTCCAGCCATCCCGCTGAAGCCAAGTTGCTTCTCTCCAGTCAAGCTGCTTCTCTACTGACTGAGTCCAGGATCTTTATAGGCACAGAATGGGGGGCGGGGCACACCATGGGCAGTTTTGGAAAAGGCAACATTTAACATTTGATTCGTATAAAGGCCCTATTCAGAAATAACCAATCGGAGAGAACAGACAAACAGGGATAGAACTTCTCATCTTGGGCTGCAGGTTTCAGGCTACTTTGGCTTGAAGGTGGGGTTTCACCAGGGACTCGCCTCAGTCTGCCTAGAATTTCTCTGCCTCCTACCTCTATGGCTGACGTTCAGTGTTTTGAAAACATTGTTTCATATATTCTGTCTACGTTTTGGTTGTTTCAGGCAGAAGCATGAATCTGGTCTCTGTTACTCCACCTTGGCTAGACATAGGAATCATGCCTTTTAGTTTTGTCCAATTTTCTTATTTTAAAAATATTAAAAATTTTAAATGGAAAAATTCATCAGTCTTTTCCTTAATGGGCTCTGTACTTGGTGTCATGCTTAGAAACTTTTTTGTTTAAGAGCTTATGAAAATATTTACTTCTATTTTTCAAAGATTTGAATTGTTTTATTTAGATATTTTATTAATATGGAAACCTACATTATACACAATTTGGAAAATAGCTATAACGTGGGGAGTGGGGGAGAGCACCTGTAATTCCATCACCAAACACACTGTAAATACATACCTTGACATATTTTCTTTATTTTTTGTGTATTTGTAATGCTAGTGTCTGTCATTCAGCGTGTTCATCCAGTGCATCACATCATTAACATTTTTATGTTGCTACATAATCTTCACAGGTGCATTTTAATGACTGAATTATATTTCATCAAATGATTATACTGCAATTATATTGCCTGTGTATTGTTAAGCATTTTAGCTATTTCTTCTTAAAGTATTTGAAGCAATTATCAGAGAGTACATTTTCAGAGAATCCTAACTTTGCCTACTTACACATGACCCCACGAGAGTAGAAATGTGGGTAAGGTCCAAGCCAGCATGTCGTTACATCTGTCTCCAAGCCCATTCTAGTACATTCAGCAAAATCCTGTTTGTAGAAAAATGAGAAGAAAATAAAAACATCAGTTCTTAATAGCTCAATCCATTTCTTATTACTCGTGTTTATAAAACAGACTTTTCAAAACAGCTTAGAATTTGTTTTTAGTATTAACATGATATCTCAGTTATTTTCTAATAATTATTTGTGCTTGGTTATTTTTAGGAAAGATACTATTCAAGTCAAATACATCATAATGCAGAATTCTTTATCAGTACCACCAAAAGATGAAGGTAAGATAAACTGCTGAGGAAAATGACAATGTGTCTGTTATAGTTTTAATTTGATAGATTTAATGTCATTGAGCTCTAATCATAAGGTAACTTATTTCCTAGAATTAAAAACAAATTATGATTATATATGAAAACTCATTTCTTTTGGTAAATTATTTAAGTGGATATGGATTCCTGAGTTTTAGGGACCTGTCTCTTTTTCTAGGCTGATAGCTCCTTGAGAACAGGGCCATCTCATTTCACCCACAACTCCAGAGTCCTGCCCATTCACTGGCAGTTAACCAGCACTAACAGATATCAATGAAATTAAAAAGTGTTGGCTTTTAATACTTACAAGTATTTTAATGGGTAGAAGAATATGTGCACATATATTCATACACACATGTGTAGACATACTCTTAGAGGATACAGAATTTGTGTATACATTTCTTTGACCTGTTTCCCCTCATACCCATTTAAAAAGAAATAGAAAAACCACTTTACTCTATGCAATGTATAAAAAATAAAATAATGATTTTTTTAACAAGCACTTCTGGATCTTCTAGAACAGCTGATAGGTGGAGATAGAGTCCTTTCTTAATCAAGAGCAATTAAATTATCCTCACCATAAAGGGTATACTCTAACCCTAGGGAGAAATATCAGTCTTTCCCCTGTCCCATCTAGTCTCTTCCACACAGAAGAGAAATTCTGACATGTGTGAGAAAAAAGACATATCTTTAATGAGGCCAAATTAGCCTGCCTTATTGGAACACATAGCTTTTATTGAAAGGGAGGAATTTGTTATGAAGGACCCTTAAATCGAGCAAACACTCTTTGACCTCTCTATCAGTGAGAAAGGTAGTATCATAACTCTTGAGAGCATGGAATCTGGATTTGAAACTCAGTTCAACCACTAAAGCCTTAGGTATATTATTTGACCTCAGCTTCCACATCTGTAAATCTATAAAATGAAGATAATAAGTCCCACTCTATAGGATATGTGGCGACTAAAGGAAATAGCATATGTAAATCACCTAGCATATTGTTGTTTGCGTAGTAGGCACTTATATGATGATATAACTACTGTTCTTGATGGTTATTATTAATATCTGGGACCCTCCCCATCTTTGAGACTGGTCAGTGAGATGGCCAGCAGGCTGCCTCTTGGCTTCGGATGCCAAATGGCCTTGGAAGGCCAAACATGCTCCAAGGGGACCCATGAGAGGAAACAGGAAGCAGACCCCTTGGTTTGATTCTTATCCAGGAGTTGGTCCAAAGCGATAGTGAGAGTCCTTGAGACTCCCACAAAATCCAGCCAGGAACACTAGGGCGAGGAAGGAGATGGACAAATCCCAACTAGAAATAAAGATCATGTGTTTTCCTTGAGTGTTCTCTGGTATATATCCTCTGGAAGATTTGTGCAGCAATACGTAACTGATCAAGGGCTTGGAAATTCGGCATCCTAGCTGATGTCACCTCCTTTTGTCCAAGCAAGCAAAGAGAGGCTTAGGAGAAAGAATAATGGAACAAGTATCAAGAAAGCTGGACTCCATTCCAGACCTGCCTCCAACCAGCTGTGGAGCCCCAGGCAAAGTTATTTTGCCCCTAAGCCTAGTTTTCCCATTTAAAAATCAAGAATTACTAGGTTTTCCTTTCAAGCTCTAAAAAGGTGAGACTACGTTTTAACTAAGCAAGGAGCCGCTTGGCTCTGGCTGATACAGAGGGAGAAGGCACTCACACCTCTTGGCTGCTTTGCTTCTCAGCACAGTTTTTTTTGTCCTGATGTCTACTCTCTGAGCTAAAACATAAGCCTGGATACCTCCATTGACCAGAAAGTAAGACCCGTTGGCCCTACCCAGAGCTCAAGTAAACCTCCTCGCCAGTCTTTTCTGGGACTAAAGATGCTTAAGCCTAATCCTGGAATTTGACAGAGGAGGTATAATAGCTTAAAAAAGCCTCAATCATGTGCCTCCAGTGTGATGATCATTCCACCTACACTTTACATCCTTTGTTTTATTTGATCTTCACAGTAAGTTAGATGTCATCCTTATTTTACACGTTCAAGATTAGGTACTTTTTGCCAACACCACACACCCATAAGTGACTGATCCAAGATTTGAACCCAGATTTATCATAAAATTTATGAAGAATATTTTATATAAATTATAGAGAATAAATTTATTAATATTTAATTTATAAAGAATATTTCTGTAAGAATTTAGAAGAATGTATAATTTAGAATTTATAAAGAATATTTTTAATTTTTGATCATCTTTTTCTTCTCTGATGTTTATACTGTGCTTTGTTACACGTATGAATGCTTAAAGCCATTTTAAACCAGAATGGGCAGAAATTATAACTTAAATTATGGAAAATTACATCAATAAGGAAAAATAACATATTTGAATATGTGTAAGGCCTAAGAATTGCCCAGTTATTCATTAATTTATTCATTCATTCAAATGCTTTCTGTATGTCCTGGATTAATACTAATATTTTTTAACAAAGGCATCAGATTTATTAATTATGATTCCATTTATGATCAAATATAATTTATGGCTAGGTGCAGCAGCTTCCACCTGTAATCCCAGCACTTTGGCAGGCTGAAGTGGGAAAATAACTTAAGGCCAGGAGTTTGAGACCAGCCTGGGCAACACAGCAAGGCTCCATCTCTACAAAAAAATTTCAGAATTAGCTGGACATGGTGGCTCGTGCCTATACTCCCAGCTACTTGGGAGGCTGAGCTAGGAGGATTGCTTGAGCCTAGGAATTTGAGGCTGCAGTGAGCTATGATCATGCCATCGCACTCTAGCCTAGGCAACAGAACAAGACCTGTCTCTGAAAAAAACCGTATATATATATATACATATATATATATGTGTGTGTATATATATATATATATACACACATATATATGTGTATATATATATACATATATATATATGACAATATATATAATACATATATTTTATTTAATTACATGTACATAATTTGTGTGACAGAAGTTTGCTGGGCACATGCCATTTATTAAATGCAGATTGATATATTTAACAAATCATTGATGGCTAGCCATAAATTATGATACCTTTGAATTTCCAACTTAAAAACACATAGACACATTATATGCATTTATGTATAAAATTCAGATAAGGCATCACCAACAGAGTTGTGAGCCTTAAATTAAGGAAAATATGCTGCACCAACATCCTGTCCCCTGACAAAGTTCATGTGGTAGAGGAGGTTTAATGATCACCAAGGTCATTCATACCAGGAACTTTCAGATGCTCTGAAGGGGGCTCTAAAATCCTGTTGGAACAGCGTATATGCATCTCCTCAACTGGAATAAAGCATGACTGATACCATACTAGAAGTGAGCATATGACGTACTTTGAAAATCAGAATAAAAGGACAGTTGGCTAAAGCCAGAGATTTGAGGCTGGTCAGGAAACACAGTGGAAGGAAAGACGTTTGTTCAGTCATTAACATATATGCAGAAGTCAAGCAAGTGTAATTTAGGCCAGGGGTTTTGAAGCTAGGAAGGACTGGCAGCATTATAAATGGAGAAAAGAAATTTGAAATTGTGGTTTCTTCTATTTAAATGCTATCTAATTTCAGGTGAAGAGATTTAACATTGTAATATCACTCTAACAATAAGTTATACTACATTATAGAGTTTTCTATTATAACTTAGTGTCACTGTTACACCTTTCTGCATGATGATATAATTTATAGAATTTTGAGAAGTTCAGGCATATGATTTAGTTTCCATAACTTTCTTTTTTTGTCTGATATTTTCAAATGATAGGCTAAACTGTATTTTTCAAAAAAGAGGCATGAAAACAACATAATAAGGCCAACTATTTAAATTTGTTGAAAGAAAGACAAAGTCACCACAGTGATTAAAAATGCAAGTGAATTTATTTAATTGCCATATAAGAAAACTCACACAGGTGAGTAGCATTGCCAAATGATTCTCTGACAGGGACAATGTATGTGTTTTATGTGCTAAGAAGAAGTAGTTCACTGTGAATATGCCAGTTGACCATTGAAGTTTGTACCTTGGGTAGTCAGGATGAATTTGAAGTTCCTACACCGTTGGCTAAAGCAAGTCCCATTGTTCATTGGTTAGGAAGGAGTCTTCATTTAAGTCAAGTGAGAATCTCTTTTACCGGAGTCTGTCAATTCTTAGTCACTTGTCAGCCTTTCAGTTAAGTTTGCCATTTCCTAGGCAAGCCTTATGCAGGTCTTCATCCACTTTTCTCAACTCTGTCATAACGTTTGTATTATTTCAAGGTAGCTTTCAGATTGTGAGTGCTATTTCTATTTCATGAAAGTAAGAAGTGGGAGTGGAGAGAGAGCAAACGCTTTGAGGCAAAGACACACAGACGACCCCCTCTGGACCCACATGATTTGACTGCACAGCCACATCCATTACTATCATGTGAATTCATATTTGGATCTTTTTTAAAAACCTAGATTTTCTGATTCAATAAAAAATAGTTATGATACTGTCTAAAAATATATTTTATGCCTTGCAGACATAAAAGTATATACTTATATCTTACAGGATAACATTTTGGTGTTTGTGAATGTAGGTTATTAGAACTTAAGGGGAGAACACTTAGGGAGGAGTTAGTTAATATTCATCTTTCTTAAAGTTTGGGGAAAAGATCATACTTATTTTGGACTTAGCATCAGTTAGGTCTTTTATAAAGTTATTGATGAGTTTTCTGTCTTTAGCAGGGTTTAAAGAACCCTGACATGTAGTAGGCTCTCAAAAGCATATTAAGTTACGTACACAATGCTTTAAACTCTCAAACATTTTTTAGAAATCACATCTGATGCTGCGAAAATGTTGTAATCTTTTTTTTTAATGAAACACGAAAGTGGATTGAATTCCAAGGTCGATGAAAGCAAATGTCCATTTAACAAATATTTATTGCAGACAGTGAGCAAAAGAAGCAAAGAGGGGAACGTAAAACCCAACTAAGCTCTTCTTTCTTGCAGCTGTTGTAATTAG